CATTTTCTAGCCTATCTTCTGTTACTATTCGGATCGCTATTTATCAATATATGGAACTCTATTCTCTATTCTCTTCTCTACACTATTCTCTATTTGGATCAATACGTTGGTTACTAGTCGAGCAAGTATTATCGCGCACGTACTATCAGTGCGAGTGATATTCGAAAGCGTCTGACACCAGTATTGTTCAACGGCGTCACAAAGTCTCCACTACAATGAGCATTTCAAAAGTGGCAACGAGTGTTCGTTGACATCGCAAAAATTATATTTGTAATTTGTAAAGGATTAAGAGTATGATGCGGTATTGTGACCATGATAAAAAAAAAACAAACAAACAAAAAAAAAATTTGCTTTTTTTAAAAATTAAATCCAGCTCCAAGCGAGGTATTAAAGCCACTAAGACACTCGGGGTTACTAGTTGTAGAAAAATTAGAAGCAGAAAAATTCCTACATTATTTACATTATTAGAACTATTGTCCTCATCTTTGTCGCCATATTTATTACAACGTTTCGGCCGTTGTACGCTCCGGCCTTCTTCAGGTGGTTGGAATGTCGAATTGAACCCTTTATTTCGCTCACTGGGGTAAACAGTTCTAGTCCCACGTGCCATGTTTGATGGGTGTTAGTTATCAATTAACTCCTGAAAATTTTCCCTCTGAAAGTTCTCCACTGCCTTAACCGGGTATTGAACTCACACTCTTTGGGTCCTGTCACTGGATCTAACCAACGCCTTTATCCACTGTGCCATGTGTCCTTGAGGAAATATAGACAGATACAGAAAAATTCCTAAGGACCGAGAACAAAAGAAGTGTCATCAGGACAGTAGATAGCGATTGACATTGCATTCAAATTTTACTCGAAAACACGGAGACAGAAGCGAGTTACATCGAGCCAAATCATCTACCCAACTCATCCAATAAACTTTTTCGTCCCATTTTTAAGCTTAGTTCTCACCACCCTTGTATCATTGGATCAAATATTAGGCCGTTTCAAATTTAGTATCAATTTCTGACGTCTTTTTTTTAAACGTCATTTATCTGATAAGTTCGCAGCTGTGCGTCATTTTTTTTTAACGGAAGGGTTATAAAAATCAACCACCAACACGATTCGAACACACGAACAGATTACAGAAGGCGAATTTAAGCGTTGTTCATTTAAGAGATATTTTGTCAAAGTTGATAGGTTAATGGCATGTCTTCTTTTTACGTTTGTTTGTTTTTGGTTTCCTTGATTTCTTTTTTTTATCGTTATGGACCTTTATGTCTATATTGGCGCCTTTAATATAGTTTAATCTAATTTCAAAAGCCGCCCATCTTTTTTCTGCATCTCACTTAAAATTACCATCTTGTTCCTTTAAATTATCTCTGGCAACTGATGAGGACAATTTAGACCTCGTAATTAAATCACTTAAGCATTTCAAACGAACAAGATATAAAAAAGCCTCCCTAACTACAACGGCAGAGGTGAAGTCGCTGGGATTTTTAAAAAATGAAAAAAAAAGAAAAACAAATACAAAATATTTCCTCTTTTTTGAAGAGTGGGGAGGCTTCACATTAGGATCGAACTCTTGCCTTTAGAAATAGCGCGTTTTTGAATTTACGTGTAAATAATTCAATTTAAACGAGTGGCTGTCTGTGTTTCATGTCTGTTTATTTTACACCGAAGTCACATTTTGGCGTTAGAAAATTGATTTAAATTGTTTCCATTGAAGTTAAAGCGTGTTTAAATTAGCAGCAGCAGCGGCGGCACCCCACCCAACACCGCCTTATCGATGGGGGCATGTGTCTGTGTGTGTGAGGAGGTTTTGCCACTGGAAAAACGCAAAGTTGAGTTTGCACAATTTGCGTGTGTTCGGTACTGATGCCTAACGGAAAAGAAGGCGAAAGAGTTGTACACTGGTGCATATGATGCCGTCATCTAATTATTTTACCGTTTAAAATACTAGAAATTTACCGCCTTTTTTTCTGTGGCTGTAGTGTGATTGGCTTCGAATCATCGTAACATAATATACAGCTAATTAAAATACAATTACAGTAATAGACGAATAAGAAGTAGCTGATGTTCAACATTCCGTGAGTTGGTGCGAATTTCAAAAAATAAGGTTTCGCTCTTAAAGTGGTTGCGCGTATAAGAGGTTGTTGAGCGAACTTTAATCAGGAACAAAAAGACTAGCGCATTTTTAATTTTCAGGGTGTCTCATTATTTTGAGAACAAGGTGTGAAAACCGAACGGTACAATGTGGACCACCGAATTGATTCATCAAAATTGGTGATTTTTTTCCGGACTCATATTAAAAAAATAATTATTTCTAATTTTTTTTTTTTTTGGTTCGTCTTAGAATCTGAATACGGATCCGCTTAAGTGAAACCAGGGTAGGTTTGTCTGGCTCACTAGGTTTATCTAGGTCTGCTCTACGGTTGTATTGAGCTCTTTTGTTAGTTAGTTGTTTACTCGTATCGGGGTTTTTTCTTTGGGCTTCAAACCTGCATCTGGGCGATTTTTTTCGACAGACTTTCATGTTTGTAGCTCTTTCTATTTTTAAAACCTTTTTTACCCCTCGAGATTGATTTGAGTATTGTCAAATCAAAAATTCGAAAACTTTCGAAACGAGTATAGTTATATATATATATATATATATATATATATATATATATATATATATATATATATATATATATATATATATATATATTTTCGTTCGACAAAATGAATTTAACTTATAAATATAAAGTCAACACTTAGAGGCGACAGTCTGTTTCATGCTATATAGAAAAGGCAATCGTCAGGCCAATGCATATAGCATGAAACAGATATGTCACCTCTAAGTGATATTGACTTTTATGTTCATTTATATAACACACACACAGTTTTATATTTATATATATATATATTTATATATATATATATATATTTATTCCATAAATATATCATACTTGGTATTATGAAAACCCTAAGACTATATTTTTTATATATATATATATATATATATATATATATATATATATATATATATATATATATATGGTCTTAATATATTTACAATATGCTGTTTGAGCGGGAACAGATTGTCGTTCACATTCTCTCTATCCCTGATATTGAGGAATTTAACTTATAAATATAGCATAGATTAAAACTATATTTTATCATTACATATAGATGTGTGCCTGTGTGTGTTTGTGTAATGTCTTGTGCCTTAAAAAATTGCGGATGTGAGTATGTGTTCTTTAGCCTCTTTTCAAATCATTGCATATTGTTGTAATACGAAAGGATCCTGAATGCACCGGTGCCTCTCTTCAGTAAAGACGGATGGTAAAAACCATGGATGAGGAATAACAAAATGGCTCATTTCATGGAATGGTATTCCGTAACAACAAAAATACAATACGTCGCCAGCGGCGTGAAGTAGATAAACCACTGCCATTTAGTGGTGAAACTATATAAATAAACACTTTTTCAGTATATCATACCATTTTTGAAACAAAGCCGGCTCCCCCACTCTTTGAAGATAGATATAACAATAAAGAATAATCGAAATTAACTAGCAAACCAATAAAGTCACTCATGAAATAAAATAATGGTCCAACGTGGCTGAAAATTTCGTTGAATGAGGATTGGTACAGCGATCATTTTTTTGAACATTAGTGTTCATAAATTTCCGCCAACAGAGGACCAGATTACAATAAAAGAGCCAAGGCTACAGCAAGGAAAAGAAAGTCGCGTGCAAATGAAAACTCAGATTAATCGGCAGCCAGGAGAGCTTCCAATGCTGAGAATATTCAAAGACTTAGGGACTCTCGAATTCCTCACCAAGCCAAAGGCCCAATCAAGAGCCCTCTGAAAGAGCTAGCTTATTTGCCGCCCGATAGGACGGCTTTTAAGTTCGTGTAATGTATTTGCCAACTTCTAAACCAAATAAATGTGTATAGACTTAAATATAAGCGACCAATATTTACCTTTCTCCGAAACTAATAAATGCTTACTACAATATATGTAAACCATCTACTGTACCTGTTCACAAACAAAGTGAATACTTACGGAGACAAATACAGGGTGACCCAAAAACACGGGAATTTTTAAAATGCGAATCGCTAGACATGAGCAAGTGGCAATACTGCGAGACAGTGACCTTGAGCAAGTAAACATTTCTCCATTTAGAATTCAAGATGAAATTCAGAGTATCCCAGCTGAGATGTTGCAGCAGTCAATGAGAAATCTCAACAGCAGATTTCAAGAATGCATTCGTACAGGAGGATGCCATCTACAGGACATAATTTAAAAAAAATGAAAATTCCATCATTGTTTCTTAAATGGCATGTTTTAAGGTTTCAATTACTATGAATAAAATATTTTTCTTCCATCACTCTTGGTTTTATTGGATTGTTAAAAAGCTCCCGTTTTTTTTGGGTCACCCTGTGATTCTGCCTTGTGTCACAGTTAAGCTACGTTTAGTAAATCGATTTAGTGCACTTCGACTTCGTGTACTGGCTAACAAGTTTGTCCCGCTATAGCATTTAAAACTGAGTAGTGAGTTCGATCCTCACTGCCTACACCATATTTTCCCCTTTGTGCCACATCTAAGCTACGCTGAGTAAATGGATTTACTGCGCTTCAACGTCGTGCAATGGTTAGCAAGCTTCTCTCCTTAGATCAATTCCAACTGTTTAGTGAGTTCGATCCACACTAAGTTCTCTATATGTTCGGTTCTGTGCCACATTTAAGCTACGCTTTGTAAATCTCCCAAATATAAATTACGTATCTCACGAAACAAGGAAATGCTTACTGGCTCAAATATAAGCGACAAATATTTACCTATATCTGAACAAAGTATGTTTTGATGTTAATTAATATATAAGAGCTAACCTTAAAACTACTGATTCTGTTCGAGTTTTCTTTTACCTGAAGGACCTGTATATATTGTTCTGGATAGGATGAAAATGAGAAAAATGATGACAAAATATTGAATAAATAGAAAGCAATAAAAAGCAGAACTGACTTCAATAATGGATGACAAAAGGTTTGACATGTCGTTTAATCAACCAACCAAACCAAATTAATAACCGATACCAATTTGTTCCTGTCTGTCTGTCTGTCTGTCTATCTATATTCTGCTTATATCAATCAATTCATCAGCCTATATCAATTTGTTTCTATCTATCTATCTATCTATCTATCTATCTATCTATCTATCTATCTATCTATATTCTGCTCATATCAATCAATTCATCAGCCTATATCAATTTGTTTCTTTCTATCTATCTATCTATCTATCTATCTATCTATCTATCTATCTATCTATATTCTGCTCATATCAATCAATTCATCAGCCTATATCAATTTGTTTCTTTCTATCTATCTATCTATCTATCTATCTATCTATCTATCTCATATATATATATATAAAATTTTGTGACTTCCGTCAGTCCGTCCGTCCATCTAAAATAGCCATACACTGACCGATCAAAACCAAATTTTGGGGAGAATTGCAAACAGGTAAGAGGGTAAAAGTACACTTGGTTTTACTAGGGTCCATACGTTTGTACAATAAATTTTCATAAATTTTGTTTTAGAAAAATTAAAAGCAGTTTTAGCTATTAATATTATTACACTATTTTTTTTTAAATAGTGACTAAAATCACAAATATTATTTAATAAAAATTCAATATTGTTTTGGGTATATCGATTTTATATTTCATCGATGGGTTTGCGAAACTGAACGAAAGGTAGAGTTTGTAAATCCCGACAAAACAAAATGTTACCGATTTCTTCAACAACACCAAATACCACGCGGATTTCAACATGCCTCGGCTTTTAGCGAAAAAATTCTAGTATGAAAAAAAAACTTAACATCGGTTTGAAAATTTAATCAAGGAACTGTAATCAAGGAACTGTAAATAAAGGAACTTATCTACCGCTTCCTGTACGATCATCGAAGTTAAGCAACGTGGAGCCTTGTCAGTACCTATGGGTGACCGCTTGGGGATATCAGCTGCTGTAAGCTTAGATGTGCGGAGGGTGTAATGGATAATGGCTCGGATTAATCTTAATTAACTGGAGAACCGAGTTCCGATTCCCGTTGTGTTTTGTTATATTCACTTAGGCGCAAATATCTTTGTGAAAGGTATGAACCCCACTCTTCTCCGCTATGGGTTAATTAGTTAGACTTGTATCGCTAAACCATTATTGTCACCGAAACACAAATTCTTATAATCTAAACATATTTTCTGGCTTTACATCTCCTGCAAAAGATTGATAAGCTGTAGAAAATGAATAAATCAGTCGAGTTTATCTTTACATAGGGTGTTAGCTTAAGGATAATTTTCGTTTTCTAACATTTTGTAGCCGGGCAATACCTAATTCCCAAGCTTGCCAATTCAAATAGCTAATCTATTATAAAGATAATAATACTCTTCTTTTATTCAATAAGGCTAACGGACCCATGTTTTTCGACTGGTTATTGAAATATGACTGCCATGAGCGGCAAATATTTTCATGATTCTTGTTATTTCATTGTTAGTTTAATCCTGTCTGTAATTTAATTAAAAAGAGCGAAATAAAAACATGAAAATAGAGGAAAAAGAAAGAATGAAAAGGGATATGTCCTTTAGCACTGGAGATATAAACGGGTTGAATATAAAAGGCTCGATTTTCAAAAGTCACTCCTTCCGTCAGAAGTGAATGTAAAGGCCTATAAAATTCTTGTGACCATTAACTGGCCTATACTAACATGTGCTGACTACGACACAAAAACCTATGATTCGATTCCCGAGGGCAAACAGTGTGGTGGATTTCCAACCCCAAATATCTATTTTATGCGGCACTAGCATCTAATAACTAGCTTGCTGTCTGTATTGCAAGAGGCAACAATAAATCCTTGTAGAATTTCTCCAAGCAAATTGTTGATTAAGCCATTAGCGCTGTGCCAAGTATTTTGTGTGAACCGATGGGTTCTTGGTTAATGGAGGTCGATAATTCTTGCTGATAGTTTCGGCGAGGCAGAATAGTAAACTGCGCACTCCACTGTCGTTGTTCCTAAAGTTCTTTCTTTCTTCTCCGCTGGCGATGAAGTTTTCATCGAACCAATAACAACTATGTGTCGTCATTTTAAATTAGGGCAAAACACGGCATTGTTAAACTTTGCCGTTTTCAGTATTCTTACAGCCATTCTTCCTTCGCTGCCATTAACTTTTTTTTTTTCCCGCTTCCGTCTTTCATTTTCACAATTTTAAATTCTTCCTTGCTTTTTCACCTTTCTTTATTTGATTTTTGTTCCTGTCTTTCTTCTATCCTAGTCTCTCTACTTTCTTTCTTTTTCCTCTTCTTTTACCTCTCCCATCTTTCTTTTCCCTATCATCTTCCTCCCCACCTTCTCTCTTTTTCCTATCTTGTTCAGGCTAACTTGCTTTTCCTAGCATTTTTCTTCTTTTTTCTTTCCCTTCATATCCTGTTCCGGATTTATTTATTGACGAAAACTGGAAGCCGCCATTCACGCGGACTTTAGGCTAGCTCCTGCGAAAGTCGTTTGAGCCTTCGTCCTTTTACCTTCAGCGTGGTATGTACGTAAAATTTACAAGAATTTAGAAATGTGTTTTTATTCCACACCTTAACTAGGCATAATCTTTCTTCGTATACGCAACCGATCGCCGTAGTTTGTTTACTTTTATTTTTGCGAGCAATTTTTCTTTTCTTTTAGAATCACCATTCTTTATGATCCCTTCACATAAAGTCAATCTTAAAAGACATTAGGAAATCCGAATTACGTAATATTTCGAACAGAGTACGCGTGCTAGAAAAAAGAAAATAGCATGTGAGCAGCGTACCGTACCCCTCTTAAGGTTAAATTACGGCTTAATTAAACGATAACAATTGAAATGGCAGCAAAAAGCGAAATTGAAGTTAAACCTTTAATAAAGAATTGTTTTGTTTTTTTTAAAAAAACTCCCCCTCTGTTCGATATTTAAATTTAACTTTAAATGAGTTATTTATTTAATTTTTAATCGCATATAACTACAGTAGTTACCACTTGTTTTTCCAAGTTTTTTTTTTAATGATTCGCCGAGATGGATAAATGGACGGACAGACGGACACACGTACACTGCGCTTTATTTATATAGATTTATTTTCTTACCCTGTTCCTTATTTCTTTTTCCTATCCAGTTCCTTCTTTCTTTGTCTTATAATTTGTCTTCTTTCTTATTGCTATCTTTTTCCATCTTTTTTCTTTCTTTCCCTTTCATATCCTGTTCCTTCATTTTTTTATCTTTTTTTTGCCTCTTTTTCCTTTTTCCTATCCCGTTCACCCTTCTTTCTTTCTTTCTTTTCCTATTTTGGTCGTTCTTTTCTTATATTCTGTTCGCAATTCCCTCTTTACTTATTTCGCCTTTCTTTGTTTTTCTTATACTGTTCGTTCGTCTTTTTTTTTTTTTTTCCTATCACGTTTTTTCTATTTCTTACTTTTAGCAATTCTATTCTTTCTTTCTTTTATTCTTTTTCGGGTAATGTTCTTCTTACTTACTTTTATTTTCTGTCATGTTCATTCTTTCTTTTTCCTATCTTTTTTCTCTCTTCCTTTTTCTTTTTCCTGATCTGTTCTCTCTTCTTTCTTTCTTTTTTTCTTTCTTTCTTAGATCCTGTTCCCTATTCTCCATTTCTTTTTACTTTCTTGCCTTTCTTCTTTTTACTTTTTTTTCTCTTCTTATTTCTTTCTTTCTTTCCTTTCGTATCAAGCTACCTATTTTCTTTCTTTTACTTAATCTGTGCCTCTCTTCATTTTTTATTTTTCATCTCCCATTCCTTTTTCTTTTCTTTTCTATCATTTTCCTTCTTTCTTTTCCCTATCCTGTTCCTTCCGTCTTTTTCCTAGGCATTTCTTTCTTTCTTTTTCCCATCCTGTCCCTTCTTTCTTTCTTTCTTTCTTTCTTTCTTTCTTTCTTCAATCATATTTGTACTTTCTTTTTCCCATTCTATTAATTCTGTCCCTCTTTTTCCTTTCCTATTCCTTCTTTCTTTCTTTATTCATTTTCTTATCATATTTCTTCTTTCTTTCCTTTTTCCCATCCTGTTCCTTCCTTATTTTTCCTAAGCTATTCTTTCTTTCTTTCTTTCTTTCTTTCTTTCTTTCTTTCTCCTATACTGTTCCTTCTTCTTTCTTTCTTTCTTTTTCCAATCGTATTCATACTTTCTTTTTTTTCCTGTCCTATTCTTTCTTTCTTTTTCCTATTTTATTTTTTCTTTCCTTCTTTTCCTCATCCTGTTCTTTCTTTCTTTCTTTCTTTCTTTCTTTCTTTCTTTCTTTCTTTTCTTTCTTTTCATTATTTCCTTTCTTTTTCTCCTCTCCTGATCCTTCTTTCTTTTCTTTCTTTCTTTCTTTCTTTCTTTCTTTCTTTGCTTTTTTTCTTTCTTTCTTTGCTTTTTGTTCTTGTTCCTTTTTCTTTCTTTCTTTCTTTCTTTTTTCTTTCTTTCTTTTTTCTTTCTTTCTTTCTCCTATCCTGTTCCTTCTTCTTTCTTTCTTTCTTTTTCCAATCGTATTCATACTTTCTTTTTTTCCTGTCCTATTCTTTCTTTCTTTTAACTATTTTATTATTTCTTTCCTTCTTTTCCTCATCCTGTTCTTTCTTTCTTTCTTTCTTTCTTTCTTTCTTTCTTTCTTTCTCATTATTTCCTTTCTTTTTCTCCTCTCCTGATCCTTTCTTTCTTTCTTTCTTTCTTTCTTTCTTTCTTTCTTTCTTTCTTATGCTGTTTGTTCTTTCTTTCTCTTTCCTATCCTGTTCCTTCTTCTTTCTTTCTTTCTTTCTTTCTTTCTTTCTTTCTTTCTTTCTTTCTCCTATCCTGTTCCTTCTTCTTTCTTTCTTTTTCCAATCGTATTCATACTTTCTTTTTTTCCTGTCCTATTCTTTCTTTCTTTTTCCTATTTTATTTTTTCTTTCCTTCTTTTCCTCATCCTGTTCTTTCTTTCTTTCTTTCTTTCTTTCTTTCTTTCTTTCTTTCTTTATTTTCTTATCATTATTTCCTTTCTTTTTCTCCTCTCCTGATCCTTCTTTCTTTCTTTCTTTATTTATTTTCTTATCATTATTTCCTTTTTTTTTCTCCTCTCCTGATCCTTCTTTCTTTCTTTCTTTCTTTCTTTCTTTCTTTCTTTCTTTCTTTCTTATGCTGTTCTTTCTTTCTTATGCTGTTCTTTCTTTCTTTCTTTCTTTCTTTCTTTCTTTCATATGCTGTTCTTTCTTTCTTTCTTATGCTGTTCTTTCTTTCTTATGCTGTTCTTTCTTTCTTTCTTTCTTTCTTATGCTGTTTGTTCTTTCTTTCTCTTTCCTATCCTGTTCCTTCTTCTTTCTTTCTTTCTTTCTCCTATCCTGTTCCTTCTTCTTTCTTTCTTTTTCCAATATTTTTTCTTTCCTTCTTTTCCTCATCCTGTTCTTTCTTTCTTTCTTTCTTTATTTTCTTATCATTATTTCCTTTCTTTTTCTCCTCTCCTGATCCTTCTTTCTTTCTTTCTTTCTTTCTTTTCTTTCTTTCTTTCTTTTACCTATTCTATTCTTTATTTAATTCCCGCTTCCGTTCCCTCTTCTTGCTTCCATTTTATTATACTATTCCTACTTTCATTTACATATCCTTTTCATTCTTCTTTTTTATTTTCCATTACCTTCTTCTTCTTTTTATAACACTGTTCCCACTAACTTCTTTCATTTTCCTTTCTTGCCTTTCTTCTTTTTCTTTTTTCAAATCTTCTTTCTTTTTCCTATCTTGTTTCCCTTTCCTTCTTTCTTTCCTTTTGCTGTTCCTTTTTGTCTTTCGTTTTTCTTTCCTATTCATTCATCTATTATCATATCTTACTCTTTCTTTCTTATTTTTTAGATCCTATTCTCTCTTCACCTTTTCTTTTCCCTGTTCTTTGTTTCTTTCTTTTTCTTAATTCTTTCTTTCTTTCTTTCTTTCTTTCTTTCTTTCTTTCTTTTTCTATCCTTTTGTTTTTGTCTTTTTTTCTTATATTTTCCCCACTTTTTTCTATCTTTTAATTATCTCGGTCCGTGTTATTTGTTTTTTTTTTCATGTGTTTCTTTCTTTCTTTCTTTCTTTCTTTTCTTTTCTTTACTTTCTTTTTTTCTTGTTTTCTTTCTTTCTCTTACATGTTCCCTCTTTTTTATTTCTCTGTTTCTATCTTTCTTTTCCTTTCCTTCCTTTCTTTTTTCTTTCTTTCTTTCTTTCTTTCTTTCTTTTTTTTCTCTTACATGTTCACTCTTTTTTATTTCTCTGTTTCTTTCTTGCTTGCCTTATTTCTTAAATTCCACCTTTTGCTTTTTCTTTCTTCGTCCATTCTTTTCCGACTTTGTTATAACTTTGCCTTTCTGTACTATTTTCGCTTTCCTTCCATCCGACAATTTGCCGTTATTTTTATCTTATTAGGCAAGAATGTCTACGACGAAAGGTTTGGCTCAGTTTAAAAAAAAGAAAAAAAAAGTCTCCCTACCCGAAGACAGAAAAATTGTTATTGAATTTTGCTCGACACCTCCAAATGCCAACGCATCTAAAAGCCGAGAACCCAATTTGTTAAACTATTTTTCAATCTGCATAAATCTTCCTTGTACTTTTTCTATGTCCCCATCTTCGTTTCAGGCAATACCCAACGTTCTGTTATCACTTGAGAAGTTTCTTATATGATATCCTACGGCCAACATCTTTTCTCGTTCTATTTTCATAAACGGAACACATCGAATTCAGTCTTTACTGGCATTCTTTGTCATCAAGATAACCAATGTAGATTATTATTTCCAAGTATGTTAAGTAAGTAGGATTTCGAGCTTCCGTCTCGAGGGTTATTCTTTTTTTTTTTAATAAATATTCATCTAATATAAACCCTAAGAGCCACTCGATGTAGAGCGTTACCGAGTGGGATTGTTTTCTGGACGTAAGAAGAGGACAGCCGCGCGGATTATGAGGATATATATGATAAATAATGGTAGACTCTTGAGATTAAGATTGTAGGGATCAAGAAAGCATCCACTCGGGAGTCTGTAACGATTCTAGAGAAGAAGCTACCTACATGGGACTTCCGCCTTCTCGATGGAATACGAAGGAAACGGGGATAAATTGACTCTATGTAGTTGACATGGCGGTTTTTGGCTGTAAAGATTCGAAATGGTAGAATTAAAGAATGTAGTTCGTTTATAGGCTATGATCTCTGCCAAAGGGGGAAAAGTAAGTATTGGGCAGTTATGACCCAGATATGACAGAAATGCTTCATATTTCGTCTGATCCGTTATTTGTAATGATAGAGCATTTGTAGAAAGAGTCAGGTAATTTCTAGAGCGGTAAAAGGAAACGACCCTTTTAACAGTGTCTAAAGAGAGATCTGTAAGTCAGATGAAATATCATGAATGTATTTATAAGTAACTAGCAGTAGAGCCCGGCGTTGCCCAGGGATGTAACAGTAAGATATAGATCAAGTATCGACCATCATAAAGACTGAAAAATAAAATTGACAAAGATTATTGTTTAAGGTTGACGGACACGCATGTCTTAATTAGTTTTTTTTTTTTTTTTACGAATTGGTCAAACCCAAATTCAAACAAAAACATTGTTTACAATCGTTATAAGTCTATCGATTGGTGAATAGAATTTTATTATAAACAATTGTCTTGTAAATGGAATTTTAAAGCATTCTGAATGTAAATAAAAAAAAAGTGTGCAAGACAATAAGAAATACTACCTGCCGAAAAAAAAGTGGATGTTTGTTTTATCGGCTGAAAAATGTAAGAAATCCGATCCCATATATAAAGGAACACACACACACACACACACACACACACACACACACACACACACACACACACACACACACACAACCTGGGTTTTTAACCTAAGTCACTCCCACGGAATCGCTAAAACATAGAGCATAGTCTGATGAAAAAGACGCCAAAGTTTATGAAAACAAAATTTTATCGTCAAAATGCTTATTTTTTTATGAAGAGGATAGACTAATTTTTTTTTTAATTATTTTTAAAAAAATTTTCCATCTTTTTAGAATATTCTAAATTTTGATTTAAAAAACCTTGTTTCTCTTTGTCGCAACAAGGGGTAGTAAAAAACATAGATAATTTTTAGCGCATTTTTTTGTATTTACACACATTAATTTGCAAAAATAAAAATAATTGTCAGACGTTAATGAAACTTTCAGAAACTATTCACAGATGATCGAAATTATTATAAATATGCTTTTTTTATTAAAGTCATGGCAGAAATATTTTTTTTATATTTATTAACACCCCCATAACTAATTTTATGAAAAACTCTAGAAATTCGAGACCATCGGTTTTAGTGATTACAATAGTTAAAAGCACAAGGCTTTGAAGAATGTAAATCATGTTTTTTTTTTTTTTTTTTTTTTTGCCAACGTACCTGAAAATCAGCTGTGAATTTTTAACATACAAGACTCAATAAAACAAATATATTATTTAGTTTCAAATGCTTTTATTTGTTTTAATTTGTTTTTATGAATATGGACAATATTTTCTGAAAGCAAAAAACTTTTTCAATGAAAATTGAATTTTTAATACAATTATTTCTTATTTCTTTAATTTTAAAAAGATTTTTAAAAAATGTTTAAATTGAATTTTTAAAAATATTTTAACATTAGTTAAAAGCAACATCAACCTTTTAAAATGTCCGTGTGAGATTGTCATTGTCTAGCACTTTGAAGATTGTATAATTTGGACCAATCAGATTAGCCATGGTAATTAAGAAATGTAATTTTTGTGTTTATTGTCGGACAGTAATTATCAAGTACGGAAGACCAACCAGAATACAATTTAGTTGCATTATTTGAGTTCAGCATTGTTCTCCGCTGTTAAGCCCTTTACTTTTGCGAAACACGTATGGAGAAGTCAATTTGAGTTTTCAATTTCAACTGAGAAGGGTACCTACAAGTAACAGTATCATCTTATGAAATTTAACTACTGCTAAACTTTAATTTATATGATCTTATTTTTATATTAATCTCAGTTATGACATTTTTCCATAAATGAAATATCAAAATTAATAATAAAATAAATGGAAATACAAATAACACAGTAAAATGTAATAAATGTACATAAAATTATAGTATTTTATGTACACTTCTGATAAAATTTCATAAGAAAGGTACCTAAATTAATTAGATACCTTTTTCTTATGAAATTTAATCTCACTATTAACAGTCTTATTTTTTAATTTCTTTATATTTTCCATAAAGCATCGTAAACGTAAAAATGAAAGCTAAGTACAAAAAAAAAAAAATAAAAAATAAAAAATAAAAAATAAAAAATTAAAGCGCTGAAAGTTTTCCTTAAAAGTAACAAGGTAAATAATTTGTTCACTTAAATAATTTCACTTCCTTCCATCCGTAGAAAGAATTCTCCTCCCGTAAGTTATCTAAACGTCCTGAATGTGCCTTTCGTCAATCGTCAAGCGACGCGAAAGGTTTGTTTTATTTTTAAATTACATTTTTTTGGCGCAGAAGCAAAGTTAAGCTTGGTTCAAAATATTTTAAATAAACAGTATAATATCTGTTTTTATTAAAATCAGTTTTGAAAAAATGATAATTGACTTTTAAAAGAATATCAAAGTAAGATTTTAATCTTTTTTATCAAATCGAAAAAAATGATTGAAAATGATTATCTGCCCTTTTTTTGACGAAAAAAAAAACAATATCTTTAACGAAAAAAAAAAATACCCCCAAAATACTTTGATCTTTTATCTTTAATAATAATATGAACATTAGACGATAAAATTTTGTTTTCGTCAAGTTCGGCGTCTTTTTCATCATGCTATGCTCTTTTGTTTACATTTTCGTGGGTGAGTTATCCCCGTTTCATTCTCACGATGTGTGTTAATCGTGTTTTAAAATTGATTTTATTAAAAAAAAACAACTGTATTTTTCCCATTTTCGGCCCCGTTAGAACCACCACAATGTAATTTTATGTAGTCCTGTGAAGTTTTGTTGAAATCGGCTAAAAAATGTAGGAAATTCGATCCAACATATAAACGTTACAGACACACACACACACACACACAACCTGCGTTTTATAATAAGTAAGATTTATTTTCGCCCATGGATTGACTATTGCTAGGTCTGATGTTTCTGCTATTTACTAAGAGATTCTGGATACAACTCAAAGAAGCAGACTAGATAGAAATAGGCCAACATAGATATCAGAACACACCAAAATAAGAGCTATTCCCAATCAGGCAGCATTTAAGCGAGCTCCAGTGGAGGTTTCTTGAATGGGCCTTCGGCTTCTTCAGGAGTTTGAGGGTCACTAAGTCTTTGCATATTCTCAGCATCGGAAGCTTCCCTGGTTACCGTTTGATTTGGGTTTTCATTTGCACGGGACTTTCTTTTCTTTGCTGCGGCCCTTTTGATTGCAATCAGGTCCTCTGTTGGTGAAGATTTCTTTTTACGAGGCATACTACTGCGGTACGTGACATGCAACAATAAACTA